GACACCTCTGACAACACATCCTTTGAAGTTCATCGCTGTGAATTCTGATATTTGCCTACCAAAATAGCATCACCTATAGCACCTAGTACTACATCGAATTTGTTTAATTATATCTTCGGATTGTCTTGCATGTACACCAGAAATATGTGCGAAGACATTTGGAAATATAGCAGTCATGGAAGGGCCAACAGAAAGTAACTGAATTACACAAATGAGGGGCATTTATTATTTAACATTAAAATGTGGACCGTCAATCATGGACAGTCCTAATGAGATGGCATTTCCATAGTTGCCTCTGGCACATTGCTGGATGGTAACATGAGTTAATCACAGCGTGTGCTGTGCCATGCGTGACACAGAGCAGTTCGCGTGGTTGATTGAGTGCTTGGCCTGAGCCGGTCTGATCTCACAGCCGGACCGTCCCTTGGCTGACCACGCGGCGTTGACTAATCATTCAGTGGTAAAATGAACCAAAACATCTGTGGTCTCGTCCTCTGTCGCGCCATCAGCAGTTCAGTGGGAAGTGACTTAGGAGTGGCAACCACAAAGAGTTTGATCAAATCTTAAAATTACCGATAAACGTCGGTGTTCTTTGGGTTTTTACTGCCTTTACCTGTAAGTAGGAAGAAGACCACGGCTTAAACATTTCACACGCTAGTTAGTTTCAGCACAGGCCGTCTACCCACTGACGCACACACACCCACCCCTCACCGTTAGTCCGGTGGAACCTCCTGTACTCAGAGTTTCCATAGTCGACGACTGCCAGACAGGTGGAGACGGTGCTTTCAGGGTCCAATCGATGCTGCAAGGTGCGTCGGCTCCCACCGCCCCCTTCGCCATCCACGCCTTAAATCTCCGGCTGCTCTCCAGCCACGCCGCCTGCCAAGGCCTCCTTTTAGAATAACTTCCTTTTCCCGTTAAGATGGTTCAGCTACTGTAGAGAAAATGGCACCGTCTCTCGCTCTTTAATCTCATGAAGTGCTCGGCAAGAACGACAGCTTTGTTTCTCCGACGTGCCCTGAAACAAGCTCCATATCTCAAGCGCTTGAGCGCCGCTCAGCATCTCGCCGTCGTAGACGAGCTTTGTCATGTTTGGCAGAGCGCCTTGAGCGCTGTGTACAACCAGTATGGATCAACCGATTAACCAATCTGTTCGTTTAAATTGTTTGTGCTTTATAAATTAATGTTTCACATAACTAATTTGCCGCATCATACATATTTTATATATAACTTTTCAAAATTGAAAATTAAAAACTTTTTATTTATTGTAAATGACCTCTCGCGGCCCACCTGCAGTACCTTCGCGGCCCACACTTTGGGAATCGCTGCTTTAGTGGAAATGGGTTGTGAGTAAAGGTTAAAATACAACTGAATGTATGTGTTAAATTCAAGTAAAACATACTCATTTGAATTGAATGTTATCAGTTCTGGAAATGAGTAGCATTTTCTGGGGCTTTTTTCAGCCTTGTCTCAAAAACCGGAATAATAGCCTTTGGGGTTTCCATGCTGAGACTAACAAACATATTTACACCCTGAACATCTTTGTCATAAAAATACTCTCCCTAATTACTCAGACACAAGTAGTATTTCTGGCCTTCTCTGGGCACGTGAAGCTGTGTGATTGGTTGCAGGGCTGAATGCCGCCGGATTGTTTGCAATGTGTTTGGAGGTGGCACCTTACCGTGATGAATCACTTACGGAGGTTCTGACTGGTTTTGATCTCTGCTTAACACCACGCGTGCACGGGTGGGTGTCATTCAGACGGCTGTGCAAGCTGCAAGTTGCAGAACCACTCGGAAATGATGTCACCTAAGCCTTACAAAGTTTGTATCCTGTCAGAGAGCGGGTCATCAAAATGTAGCCGTAGCGGTTTTCCAGTGCGTATTCATCGTGCGTTAGCCACCTACCCGGACCTTGGGTCCGCTCGCTGTGTAAACAGGCTCACATGCCACTTTGTCACCACCTCGCCCTCATTCTGCCCACCCGAACAGATTTCCGTATTTTAATATAAGAGAGGTGAATGCCAGTGTGTCTACTGGTTAAAAGCTGCACATAATTCAAATCTAAAATGAGTCCCTTTCCTGCGGTATTAGCTCTCTCCTCCTTTTTGAATAGCCACACTGTCCCAATCCCCCAGGTGGGATGTTACACTGTCCCTGTAAGCTCTCTCCCTCCCACTCAGTAACTATCTCTGCCACTTATTCCCTTTTTTAAATTATACTTTTTTAATGTGACACCCCGATCCTCAACGCAACCAGAGACTTTTCCAGTCACCACTTAAAGAAAGCTGTTCAAAGTAAATATCTGTGCACTTTGGGGCAAAATGCCAGCAGTGTCAATGTGCAATCGCTCACGAGGATTTGAAGCTTTGTCCGTGGAAGGGTTTTCCTTGGTTGAGCACGGCTCATTTTGTTGTCACACAGGTTATTGAACCTGTTTTTTAAGGAGCCGGTCCCCGGCTTCCTTTTCTTCCTGACCCCAACACAATACTATCAGCATTCTGGAGACTCAACACAGGAAGTAAACAGCTGGAACTTAAACATGAAGCTGAACACCACTTTACCTCAAGGACACAAGCGATTGAAAACAGGGACCTCACATGCAGCTTGAATGGAAAACGCTGCGTTGACTTTGTAGCCGTTCACGCAGCCGACATAGACAAAACTATGCTGACATCTAGAAAAACCTGAAATACTTTGGAGCTGAGATGAACATGTGAAAGGAAAGCGCCATTTGTTCAGCGGTCTGGTTTCACTTGCCACCTGTTCCGAAGACGCTCAGCTGTTGATATGAAAGAAAGAACTGGATTCCCGGGCGAGAGAGGGAGAGGGACTTGGTGCCTAATGAAAAAGCATGAAATAAAAGTTGCACCTTCTCACTCCCCGTCCTGTGAACTCTGTCTCCACTCTCTTTTCTTATATTTATATTTAATGAGCATTTTTAGAGCCATCAACAAATTGTTTTTTAACAAACTGCATGTTGACATTTGTTTCCCTTCGCCCTGCCCCTTTTCAACTTATGCCAGCTGGCCCGCTGTTCTTGTGTGGAAATGACGGTGAGGAAATCTGTGCCGTGGTCAGCGTAAGGCATAAGGGTCCCTGTGTGGGGACGCAGGGGGGCACACACCTGTTCCCCGCAAGGCCTTTCAGACGCACATACCACCCGAGGCCTCCGCTGGCCACATGTGTCGTCAAACGTCAGTGAGAGTGTTCCTACGCCGTGGCATTTGTCGCGTCAGGCTCTTCTGTAAAGCCTGTCCATTTTTGGAGTGGCACAACTGGCAGTTCATTTATTTGATAATATTTTAGTGTTTCCCCGTGGGTTTGGGTGGGGTCAACACTGTATTTATTTCACGTTTATGTTGCATTTAAGGTTCCAGCTTGGTCTTCTATCTCATGAAATAATAAAGCTTGAAATAATAAAGAAACACAGCAGATGCTTTCAAGACTGCAGTAAATTCACAGGGTGCAAATAGCCAGAGATCTGGAAGTGTGTCTCCACTTTGCCCGGTACGCATAACTGGCATATTCTTCATATTCAAGCATCACTCTGAGATGCTGATCTGGCAAGTGAGAGGCAGGGCTGTTCTTCCTTGGTGGGGTGGGAGGGGGGGCGTTAATTCAGCCCTGACAACTGCTAAACAGCTGAGCCCGGTTTACTGGGGCCGACTGGGGTCCCGGGGAGGTTGTATTGTGAGAGAGGAGGGGCTGTCAGTACCTTTGGCATCAGTTGTCCACTTACCTGACTCTTTCTTAATGGGCTCTGATCAGTGTGTTGCTTTCTTGCCTCTGTATTGCATTATGCGTTAGCAACTGTACAGATGTTCACAGTCCCCTGGTCATGCTTGTTGTTACTCTGTGTTACCGTTCATACTATTCCTGCTTGAGATTATGGCTCAAATAGTCTCGCAATAGCACACATATCTGTTTAAATATACTTTCTTTATCCTTTTTTAATGATTGTTTTCATTGAACTTAGATGTGATTATTAATCACAAAGTGATAAACCTGTCTGAGTCTGAAAAACACAACAGAAGATTATTCGGTTCTTTAGCACAGTATTTCTGTATTTCATAATCGTGGGGGCAAAAGTGCCAAATCGGATATTGTGAGTGGGTCTAAATCTGTTCCACTCGTCTGATGTGAGCGGGGTGAAAAGAAGAGATGAATTTTACAATCTCGAAGTTGGACAGATTTGGAAGAGGAGTATTTTTAAAAGCCCTAAACAGCGAGTCACAAGTCTACATGAGGATAGAAGTTCTTACGTTTTCAATGTTTTTTTGTATACTGTTTGAAACCTCTTTGATATGAGTTGTATGATTTGATTGTTTTTCTTTAATACCACTGCTTGCTAACCAAGTGACTCCTGCATCCTTTTCCAAGGGCCCACAGTACACTGACTATTGACTCTTAGGAGAAAAAGCAGAATAACGGTCAGTAGATGATCGCTAACTGTACCTTCACACTGAGCATCAGGGACCTCCAGAACACTGGAACACTAACAGGAAGTTGCCGACAGCCTTTTGGCTCTTAAGACTCCAGCATGCTACGTACCATGGCTACTTTTAAAGAGAAACAGTTGGTATCATTTGTCTGATGTGTTTCTGTCCTTTTCTGGGTTTGCTGATGGACAAGTGACTAAGACGGAGAGTCAAGGTGTGAACATTGTGAGGTGCTTTGTATGTCAGGGAGAAGATGAAAGCTCCAATAATATGTAGTGATCTGTTGTAACAACAGTGTTTCCCCTACCATTATAACAGGGGGGCGCCCCCCCCCCCCTCATCGAACACTAATCCTCCCAGCTTACTGCTGATCTGTAGTTGATCTGCACTCGTAACATCTTCATCAACTACATGATCATGTCTCCGTATTCCCCCCCAAGAAGCAGCAGTAAATCACCAAACTACAGTTTCTTATGAACGCAAAAATGGTTTGTCAAGTTGAAATGGTTCATGCCAATTCTGATCATTATCAATTCCATTTCTTTTTCTCTCTTTCTAGATTTTGACATGAAGAAGGACATAGACTTATTGATAGCAGAGGAACGCGTTGAAATCATCGCCAAATATGACAAGGTAAGTGTGTGCACAGGAATGCCATCACCTGACCACGACAAACATCACATATTTATCACAATCAAAATTAATCAACAGGTCAACAAGTTGTCATGAGCCAGTGGGAGCCACAGTATTTTTCTATAGTGTCTTTGGGACTGATTTAAACCACCGCCAAAGCTCAGGCGCAGATATTGAAACACAGCTCATGGAGATCTTCATAAAGACGTTCCTGAAGCATGAAGTAAACTCGGGATTCTTTAGACCATAAAACATCCTCCGAGAAGGGCAGTAAAGATGCATCTCTCCAACGCAGCAAACCGGGGGAGTCGATGGCCTGAGTGGATTCTTTAACAACAGGAAGTGCGAATGGGATTACTAGGAAGGATCCGTCTATGACAGCAACTTTGGGTTGCTTAGTTTACCAATTCAGATTAAAAAGTAAGAAAAAATAAGTGCTAATAAGGAAGTAAACTGCAGTGTTTAGTGTGTATCACTGTTTACCAGCAGTTAAACGTTCTACTTGTTCTGTATCGTCTTGTTGTTTGCTGTGCACCTACATACAATTGTAAATCACCTTTAAGCTTTTTATTTTGCATAATGGGAAGTATGTTATGGGCTTGTTTCAGGGCAGACAGGAGGGTGCCGACATTGACCCATGGGAGGATGCGAACTACAGCATCTATAAGGTCACCGACCGCTTCGGCTTTCTGCAGTAAGTTACTCGACTTAAAGCTCTCACCACTTCCTCCTCGTCGTTGTTAAAGTTCTAGAACACCTTTGTCTTTGTGCCGATGTCCTCTGTCACTCTTCCCACCTTTTTTGTATCCTATCATTCTCACACATGAGGAGGATGTATTGTTTTCTCAGGGCCAAACATAGACTATCCTCTGTGCCGATTCTAATACATGCTGTATGTCTCTGCCTTTTTCGCTCCAGTGAGAAAGAGCTGCCAACACCCAGTCCGCTGGAAGAGAAGGTATGAATTTTTAACCTGCGTAGCGAGTTCCTATTTTGACCTTGCACATGTTATACAGCCATTTTCACATATGGATCCCATTTATGTTTGTCTCTCCTCTCTCCAGCATAAGCAGCAGGAGATTGAGCGGGTGGAGAAATGGCTAAAGATGGTGAAGAATTGGGACAAGTACAGGAACACTGAAAAGGTCTGTACCTCTATCATTAAACCCTCTCTTCCCATTTGTCTCACTCAAGTATTTCATGTATTATTTCCGCTTCGGTTAATAATCTTTTTTTCTCCCCTTTTAACCACAGCTCGGTCCCTAATGCCCCTCGTTAGGTCAAGACCGTTAAAGCCAGCACATGAGTGCCTTTCATGAGTTCTTGCCGATAGCAAGAGAGCTAACAATGCTACATTCCATTAAGCAGCATACGCAACCCTCTGTGACTCTCTCTTCACGTGTGTTTCAGTTGGTGAAGCGAGTATATAAAGGAATCCCTCTGCAGCTGAGAGGCCAGGCCTGGGCCTTGCTTTTGGACATAGACAAAGTCAAACAAGAAAACGTTGGCAAATACGAGGTAAGGATCTTAAAAAAGGGTGACGGTATCTCCCAGTGTTTCCCACACATACACTAATTTGTGGCGGTGCGCCACAGAGTCAACACCGGCCGCCACACAATGCGTTTGATGTATTATTATTTTTTTAACGCAGCGTCTTCGTTCAGCTGCATTTCTTTTCCCTGCTCTCCCTCAGTCTGTCACTCGCGCGGGCACACACACACACACACGTACACACACACACACACACACATACACACACACATACAGCCCCTCAGTGCACACCGCGTCTGTCTTGCGGGTCTTTTTTTAGCAAGCCCTGCAAAATCCATTGCTCTGACAGAGGTTGCAGACTTGGCATGTAGGCTGTAACAACAAGTAGTATAGGGCGTGATATGTGTTCTACAGCTATGAGAGTTGTATAATATTGTATGAATTGTGTATAGTTCTATCTAGCGATGTGTGTTTTAGTACGACGCCCGGTCAGCCCCCACACATTGACATTGGATCTGTGGGAAACACTGTCTCCTAAATACAAACACTGATATTTGGCTAGCTTTCCTAACCTTTCTGTCCTCCAGAGAATGAAGCTGCAGGCTCGTAACTTCTCCGCTGACATCAAGCAGATAGACCTGGACGTCAACAGGACCTTCAGGAACCACATCATGTTTATGGACCGCTTTGGAGTCACGTGAGTCCTTGTCCTCACTCATCAGAATTTCAGGTTATCTTGAAAGCACACTGCTGTCACTGCGCATCATAAATAAACTGCTTCTCTTGCACGCGTTTCTGTCATATTCGTGTGTCCAAACAATTCTTTCTCACCTACCGTGTTTGGGTGTTCTACAGAGTGTGACCTCTAACTTAAATTTAGTGGCAGCCTCACCACACGTGAACACACACACACACACACACACAACCAAAGCGGTGGTTTCCTCCCCTGTGTTTTATTAGCCTTCCTGTCAGTACATGAAGCCCCACAGGAAACGGTAATCATACAGAAATGGGCATTAAGTGTACACGTAGGTAATGACACATCAATGTTATGCAAATATATTAGAAAAGGCCATTAAACATACATTAAATGAACCTCATCATAAGGAGACGGCCGTGATTTGAAAGGTACTTGTTTGTCCGTGTCCACTTTATTCAGCCCGCCGGTTACTCTCCCTTTGCTCTTTGTAACGTACTTCCCCTTCATTTCAAAGCCAGCGAGCACAAACAAACCAAAACAACGCTCCTTCCTGCTTGGCTGCTCACTTCGTCCCCGCTGGTTAACATCTGTGTCTCACTCGCAGCGAGACACAGATGCATTTCCTGTCTCTGTCTGCAGGACTTGTGTTGACGACAGAGGCTTGCAGGGGCTACATCCTCTCTCATCCTCATTTATATTAGTTAATTGCCGCTTTTTCAAGGAAAATACTATATATAATTAGCGTTCACTGTTGGAAACTATTCAGACTGTAATCCACACTGCAGCACATAACAAAGTGCTCAGAAAAGTGTAGAGAAGCTGCATACTTTGGACAAAGTCTTTTGATGTAAGACCTTTTTTGCTTTTATTGATCCATGAAAACATAAATTCAGAAAAATTAGATTTGATTACTCCAGCACTGATCGCGCTCACACACCCTTCATTAATCCTTGAAATCAAAGCTGGATAGCTCAAGCGTAGGACCAGTGGGTAGAGAAACACACACGCACACACTCATAAAACCCCTACTGGAACGATACAATGCAGCCAGAAATACGTCCCGCTGTCCGTAGATAGATAATCCTTATTTATGTAACCTCTGGGAATTCCTTCACGGACTACACCGACTGCCCGTTTCGACATACTCGTTTGTTGCTTAGGAACCACTTCCTCATTTTAACCGGCGGTTTCTCTGTTCCCTCTCCAGGCAGCAGGCCCTGTTTCACGTACTAGCAGCTTACTCCGTCTACAACACGGTAAGGGTGTTTGTGTGTGCAGAAGTGTGCTTGCTTTCGGCACATTGCGTGTTACATAACATGCAAGTGTCTCGTGAACACTGGCTGCGAGGCAGAAGCAGCACCTCAGTGATGCAGCAGTTCATACGGTGCGTCGGTTTTAGATGGCGCAGAGAATATTCCAAGCACTCTAAACCCATCTGTTCCCATTTGTGTTTGTAGCCTTTGAGATCTTTTATTTATGAATGTGGTGCTGGCAGAATGTACGGCAACACGGCGTAACAGTCGGCCCACCAGTGAAGCCACATATATAGTCAGGCCACGTTCTCATGGACGTATTTTAACGGACAAGGATAGAGAGCCTGGTTTTCTTGATTTATGATACACCGCTAGACACGCTGTCCAAAATAACAGATGTAGGATTTAGTTTCACCTCAAGTAATAGTTTGTAATGTGCCAAACCAGGACGTTTTACCCTTTTTGTAGTCTCCGCAGTCCTTGCTGTAAATAGTTGCAGTTGTGGGTGCCGAGGTTAGGCATGATAATTGCATCTACTTTAAAGTCTGTCTGTACTTTCTCCACCACACGCCACAGTTTGTCTCTTTTGGGTGGAATCTATCACTTACAACCAAGTGAGAAATCCCTGTGTATGTGCATGTTTACATTACATTACATTACATGTCATTTAGCTGACGCTTTTATCCAAAGCGACGTACAATAAGTGCATTCAACCATAGGGTACAAACTCAGGAGAACAAGAAACAAGAAAGTGCAATTTCCTCAAATAAGCCAATTTACAATTTGCTATAGATGAGTGACGTTACAAGTACAATTTAAGTGCTACGATTTGTTAGTCTTTAGTCGAGGTAGAGTCTGAAGAGGTGTGTCTTTAGTTTGCGGCGGAAGATGTGAAGGCTCTCTGCGGTCCTGGTGTCTTCAGAGAGCTCGTTCCACCATTTCGGCGCAAGGACAGCAAAGAGTCGAGACCTAGTCGAGTGTTTTGCTCTCAGTGAGGGAGGGACGAGTAGTTTTGCAGAGCGGAGAGTGCGGGTTGGGATGTAGGGTTTGACCATGTCCTGGATGTAAGCTGGACCCGATCCATTCACAGCATGGTACGTGAGCACCAGTGTTTTGAACTGGATGCGGGCGGCCACCGGTAGCCAGTGAAGAGAGCGGAGGAGTGGATTAGTGTGGGAGAATTTCAGAAGGTTGAAGACCAGTCGAGCTGCTGCATTCTGAATGAGCTGCAGAGGTCGAATGGCGGTGGCAGGGAGACCTGCCAGGAGGGAGTTGCAGTAGTCCAGGCGAGAGATGACAAGAGCCTGAATCAGTACCTGCGCTGCCTTCTGAGTGAGAAGGGGACGTATTCTCCTGATGTTGTAGAGCGTGTATCTACAGGATCGCGTTGTCGCGGCGATGTTGGGAGTCAGGGAGAGTTGGCTGTCAAGTGTGACGCCGAGGTTCTTAGCGGTCGAGGTGGGCGTTAGTACGGAGTTCCCAAAGTTGACTGTCAGGTCCTGGGTAAGAGAATCTTTTCCGGGAAAGAGAAGTAGTTCAGTCTTGTCTGGGTTGATTTTCAGATGGTGGGCGGACATCCACTGAGAGATGTCAGTTTGACAGGCAGAGATCCGAGCCGCCACCTGGGTGTCCGAGTGAGGGAAGGAGAGAATTAGTTGGGTGTCATCGGCATAGCTGTGGTAAGAGAAGCCATGCGAGCGAATGACAGCGCCAAGCGAAAACAGGAGGGGACCCAGCACGGAACCCTGAGGAACTCCAGTAGTAAGAGGACAAGGTTCCGACACAGATCCTCGCCAGGTTACCCGGTAGGTGCGGCCATCGAGGTAGTTTACAAAAGACAGTAAATGCGTATGTGTCTATTAAACAGTAATCACTATAGGATACTTCTCTGTGATGAGCACAGATTGCTGCCGTCGTGCAGGGATGAAAACGTGGCCATTCAAAGACAGCTTTGTGTACAGTAGATCACGGCTCCCCATATATGAGCACAGTCCAAGTCTGTTTTCCTGACTGGGCTGTGGAGTCGGTTCCTGTGCGGTGGAGGTGTTTGAGCCAGAGGAAACGGGCATGTGCTGTTCCCTTTTTCCCTTTTCCCTTTCCCCTCTTCACACACCGCTCAGAAGAAACTGGGTCAGTAGAAGACAGCGAGCGAGAGGGAGGGAGGGGGGTGTATGTGTTTGTCCGTTTGTCTATGAGATGATAGAGAGGAATGCAGAGAATGTGTAGTTTAACCTCAGTGTAACCATGAATATATTTACCCTTTATCTGCTCTGGCTAAATAAATCGGCCTTAATATGGACAAATACCAAGTGTGTGTTTGATGAAGACATGACATTAGTGAGAATGTATTTTGGGCTTCTGTAAATTTTTGAACACGCTCTGGTTAAAGTGTTTCTAATACTGAAGCTGCAATTAAAGTAAGTGACACACATCCACAGTCTAGTTGCAGACCACATCAGACATTCAGGTGTGTGTGTGTGTGTGTGTGTGTGTGTGTGTGTGTGTGTGTGTGTGTGTGTGTGCGTGTGCGTGCCTCGCTCAATTAAATTTTGAATAATCCCTCTCATTTAGCCATCCGGTTAAATCGAACCAGTCTCCTTCTCCTATGTCCCCCGCCCAGGAGGTGAGCTACTGCCAGGGGATGAGTCAGATTGCTGCCATTCTGCTCATGTACCTGAATGAGGAAGATGCCTTCTGGGCTTTGTCCCAGCTCCTCACCAACGGAAAGCACGCCATGCACGGTGAGACACGGAGGAAGAAATGGAGGCCGACGTAAACAAAGCACGGCTTGTAATATTAAACATCCAGTATAATAATGCCTCTCGTAGAAAAGGACAAAAATCTGTTTACGCTGTGCTATGTTGACTAATGTGTAGACAAATGTGGATGATATTTTGTCAAAGAGGAGACCATAAGGTTCTGTTGCCTGGGGGAGGAATTACCTCAGTATTGTGCTTCAGAGCTGGAATAACGTAAAGTTCAAAATGTTTAAAAATGCATTTCTGTTCAACGTAACAATTGTCTCTATAGAAATGCTGGTGTACAGCATTCTTTACTTCCTAAAACTACTGCCAATTTTTTATTATGCTAGGCTTCTTCATCCCAGGATTCCCCAAGCTGCATCGTTACCAAGCCCACCATGAGCTGATCCTCTCTAAAATGCTGCCAAAGCTGAAGAAACACATGGTCAGTTAAAGTACATCAAGTCAAGTCATTCTGCCAAAGATTTGTAACGGGCAGCAGATTACTGCACTCTGAGATCTGTTGATGAAGATGCATGCATTATAAATAAAACGTATAATAATAATTATTATTATTATTACATGGAGTATTGTCCTTCATTCATTCTCACCCCACAGGACAAGGAGCAGATGACAACAGGGATTTATACCACCAAATGGTTTTTGCAGTGCTTCATTGACAGAGTGAGTGTTTTTGATTTCCCAAACTTCCCGAGCCTTCCTTCCTGCACGAGGACATCTGCATTGAAACTCATTAATCCGTAGATCTCTTTGAACACCGAACTACATCTGGTGTGGTTTTTATCCCCTTTTTATTTTTTTAATCCACCGCTGTCTGTCTTACATAACAGACCCCGATCACCCTTACCCTGCGTTTATGGGACATCTACATCCTGGAGGGGGAGAAGATCCTAACTGCCATGGCTTATACGACGCTCAAGCTACACAAGAGTGAGTACGAGGACGACCACGTTCCCTCTGGTGCGCCGCAGTGTTGAGCGAGTCAAACTGGTTTCATGCAGGTACGGCCGTGGCTGCTGCTGCTCCGAGTGTGTCATCGCACGCTGCCTGCCGCTCGGCTGCCTCCTAACTGGCTTACGTAATGCCAGTGGCCAGTTGCTGTGGAGAAGAACCAAGAGGCTGACTTTTCATTGGACGCCTGCTTGAGCGTCGCCTCAGGGTGTACATCTCGCTTTGTGTGTTGATGTATTAGTTTTCACAATGTCATTTGGATTCATATGTCGGGGTTCAGTCGACGTGTCACATAGACTTGCATCATCCGTTCTGAGTTAACTTTCCTTTGTCCTATCAGAGCGGCTGCAGAAGATGCCGTTGGAGGATCTGAGGGAGTTTCTTCAGGAGCAGGTCGCGGTGTCTTTCTTCCTGCCCGACGATGTGGTGGTTGAGCAGTTACAGGCAGCTATGTCTGAACTTCGCAGTAAAAAGCTCAGCAATCCTCCTCCAGGTGCACTCGTTTTCCTTTATTCATTATATTATCACGGATAAAAGTTCATTCTCGACCAAAAGTAACACTCTGCTTTTGTTAACAAACATTCCATATTCTCCGTCTCCTTGTGTTTAGCCAAGCCAGAAGAGCAGCCAAAGGCACCTCTGGGTCAAGAAAGACCAATTCTCCTTGTGCCTCCGCAGCCTGACTCCCCTCTGGAGGTCAATGCAAATCCGCAGCCTGCGGGTCAACGGGACGCTGAGGCCCAGCAGGCGGACGGCATCGCTTCACAGCAGACACAGGACCCCAGAACTCCGTCTCTGCCGTCACCTGACACGCTCGTAGTCCACACACAGAGGACGCCTTCTCCCTTGAGGCATTGCAGAGCCCCCCCGTTACCTCCGAAAGAACACAAACCCCGTGCCGAGGCAGGACTGGACGGAGGCGCGAAGGAGGCGCTTCCGGGTGTCGGCCCGGCCAAAATTGTCGCAAGTCAGGCCGCTGACCCCGAGGAGGATCCGATGGATTGGCCCCCACCTTACGAGCCCCCTGCTTTGGAAGCTCTGCCGCAGGAGATCATGGACCTGCCAGATCTGCCCCCTCCACCTTTCTCCTACACTGAGCAGAACGACCAAAGCCACGGGGACGGCGGACCCCCCGGTCCGGAGACCCGGCGGCGCTCTCCCTCTCCTCGCTCGGCCCCCTCAGCAGTCACTCAGATGAAGCTGCCGCCAAAGCCGTGCTTAAAACCCCCCACGTCGCTTCAGCTCGCCCAGAAAGGAGCTCCTCCCGCTCACCCTGCCTTCGCCACCTCCTCCCCTCCCAGACTTCCTCCCCCTAAGCCAACCAAGTTCCCAGTCTCTCTGTACGTCCCGATGCCCACCGGAGACCGACGGCCCTCCAACACCTCCCAGTATGACAACCTTTCCGAGGCCGATGAGGACGACACCCTCCTGGAGAGGCTGCTGGGTTCCACTCCTGAGGAAATCCCCAGCATGCACCGCGGTGCCCCGCCCGCCGCTGGCCGAGATTGTGACGCTGCCCTCTACCCTGTGCCTCCACCTCCCCTGTTCGCCCCCCCTTCGCCCTCTCCCATTCGCCCCTCGCTGTGCGGCCTCCCCAGTCTGCCTCAGGAGCCGGAATACGAAGGGGAGGACAGCTGGGTGGACGACTCCATCATCCCTCCTCCTCCGGCTAATTTTGCCGACAGACTCAGTCCCTTTCAGTGTGGTGCTGCCGGCTGTTCAGACACACAGCAAACCACCTCGCCGCCCGGATACTCCAAGCCTTTCTCCAGGGCCCCACGGGACCGCTCGGCTTTCCCAGCACCCCTGCTGTACACCAGGTCTCCCCCGGGCCACTCGGCGGTAGGAGTGTACACGGTCCGATCCAGCCCGGACTTTTGCAGGATGCCGCCGGGTGGTCAGCCGCTGCCCAAATCAGTGACCTAAGTGTTTGTTTTTTTGTATCCCTCATTATACCAATAGTCACGTCTGGTAGTTCTTCTTCATTTTAATACCATGAAGTGAAAAGCCAGTAGAGAACAAGAGAAAGCGAGAGTGTGTCTGTCAGTCAGAGAAAGAGAGAAAGGACTCATCAATCGATATGTACAAATTACATACTTGCACTTTTTTTTTTTTGGAAAGTGTCAAACTTAATGTATTTAAAACTGCTGTCGGTTACCCATTACCGTTCGCCTCACAACAAGAAGCGAGGGTGTTTTCTTATCTGCTCTCGTTCCACCGTTGCTTTGTTTCGTTCCAACTGAAGTGTCTTAAACTGATCGCAGTACACTGAGGCTGCATCTCCAGCACGAGGGCTTTTGAGGCTGCAGAGTACGGTCATCTTTGCTGGAGCACCCAAAGCCTGTTTATATATTTATACTGCTTTTTATGGTAAACTGTGAGCAGGGCGTGAACATCTGTAAGTACACCAAACTGTAATAGGTAATAGAGAAAAGGTTGTGTCACGGTTTACCGTATCTCTTAAGGTCAATAGTTGATGAAACAGTTTGTACAAATGCAGTTTGCATGCAGGCCTCTGAAGAACTTTGAGGTTGTGACAACCAGTCACAGGAAAGATGTGGTGCAATGTGTCACTGGGGTAAATACAGAAAAGTTATTCACATGAAGCCTAGTCTTTTTTTTTTTATTTCAGGCATGTAGTATTTGGTATTTTACTGATTATTCATCTTGTAAATTGTCTAGTTCGGGTAAAAGATTTCAACGTATTGTTTGTCTGCCACTTCATGTACTGTTATATGTATATAGATACATTAATATGGTGTTACCCTGGTCCCGATGTTTATAGAGAGCAGCTCCACCTGGTGGTCAGAAGTGTTACAGGTCAGCAGTAACTGACTTGCGTTCTTAAGAGGTTCTAGTATTTAAGCATGCAGACTTTTAGGAAAACTAGTCCTGACCTCGACATCAAAGCTTCCCGTGATGCCTGTTTGGGATTACGTACATAGTAAGATAGATTTAAAAAGACATGGACGGGCCCTGTTTTATAGTGCAAAAATAATCCATATGTGCCTGTATATCTGAACCATGCAAAGAATGTGGTGTCAGTTTATTTAAATACTTCGATCTGAAGAAATGGAAGTTGAGCCATACGATACTGAACAAGGACCTAATAGTCACGTGTTTATATTGTTACGTTTTAAAGTAAAGTGACCTTTGTCTTTACCAAGAGGTTTTGTAATTATCTAAGTATTCACTTGATTTTTAATGGATTTCCAGCTTATTCCTAAAAATATTTTCATCTTTACAAAGTGACGTTCTACGGTTTGTTGTGAACTTCGGTCTTACTGAAACTCTTCCGATGACTTGAAGTATGTTTGGTTTGCTGTAGTCATGTGACCTGTACATCACTGCTCGTTGTGGTGATGCTGGCGCTCGGACCAAAGCGTATGTTCACTTATGCAACTACTTATGAGTTTTTATAAAGAGATAAACCTTAAAATGTCCATTGTCTGCTCTTTCCCACAGAGACGATCCACGTTACATAAATGTATTGCCCACCCACAAAATCGTGTCGTATCACCACATATTTTAGTATCTGGCAGTCCAAAGTATTTTACAAAGTAGACAAAAGAGCAAAGGAAAATCAAATATCAATGCATTAGAAACGTTAATTCAAATCCTTTAGATGCTTATAGATTGTAAAATTATATTATATTATAGATTATAAAACACTTGAAATACAAGTGTGTGTTTATAAGATGTTTAATAAGGATTGTTTCTTTACCCACATGTTATACACGGTATCCAACGAGAACATAGGAACCAATCTTATGATTAAACATTAAGGCTTATTGCATCACTTGAAAAGGTTAGTGCAAATTCATCCCAGGCACCGAGCGTCCGGAGTGCGCACGCTCCCCCACCCCGGGACACAGTCCCATCCTTCATATCCGGAGCTGACCCATGAGGCTGCAAAGGGAGGCAACACTTTGTCTCAGTTTGGCATCTTCCTCCTGTCCCAGCGACACTCCGGCCAAGCGCGTGGAGCCGTTGGATCCCATGAGGCACGGCAAGCTGAGGAAGACCTCTGCGCCGATGCCGCCCCAACCCTGAAGGAGACCACGAAACACGTTCAGTGAATTCATAAAGAAGCTGTCACTTCCATGTTCGCTTTGCGCCACATACGCGGGCGACGCTTTGGTTCTGCCACTCGGAGGTCCTACCTGAGCCAAGGTGGAGACCGAGTGGGTCTTCATCTTATCCGTCAGGACGCTGTCGGCGATGTCGGCGATGGACAGACCCACGGACCACGACCGCTGGCCTCGAGTCTTCATCATCCCGAAAGCTCTGCGGGGCACAGAAGTCAGTAAGTACTTTGACAACTCCTCCGCCCTGCGCGAGCTGCTAGCGGTCGCGCCGGTATACCTGTCTAACAAGGGCTTGGTGGAGTTGGATCCTGCCGCGATCTCCAGCTGCACACTGGAGCTGCTCATCACAGCCACTGCAAGACAAGCACAGAAGGGCCGGGCTCAGTCGCGTGCGTCCGTTTTTGTTAATGGCGCTTCAGGAGACGAACGCCGATCGTAGCAGGAAGCTTAGCTGTGGTGGTCAAACTGATACGATCTAAAACAAATGCTAAAAACGATGGGAGGGGAGACAGAGGATTTGTGCAACGTTTCACCTTTGTTGTCCGAAAGCTCTCCTATGACCCAGGCGGGTTTGTGAGTGTTGAGGTTAATGTCCAGGATGTGACTGAGCCGCTGCGAGTCCAGGTTACAGCCCGCGCCGATCACCTGGGTCGGAGGGAGGCAGCTCTGCCTCCAGGCGACGTGGGTCATGATGTCCACTGGAATTTGACGAGAATGAAAAAACGAAAAATGAAAAAGATTTGGCAATAAAAAGGGGGTCGGTTTCTCAGAGGGACGCGTCTCTGCCCCGCGACACCAACCTGGTTGCGAGGCGATGATCAGCACCGCTTTCGGGCTGTAACGAGCGAGGTTGGGGATGATTCCTCTGTACAGGTCCACGTTAGTCTGGACCACGCTTGCGTACGACTGCTCGCCGCTCCATGCATTTGCGGTCACGACGACAACCCGGGAGCCCGCAGAGGCGGACAGGTCTGAAAGGGGGCGGTCAGCATTGTAACACAAACGAGAAATAGGCAAAGCTTTAAAAAGAAGGAAGGCAACGGTTCAGAACATTTGTTTTGAATGAGCAAAAGTAAAAGGGGAGGAGTCAAAAGAAAAAATATTCAAAACACTTCAAGCATTCAAGCTGGTTTACATGAACACAATTTTGAGTGACACCAACTTGTTATTCGGGGTAGGATTGTCACAATTCCAAACTTATGACATAGACACGATACAATACCAGAATTCGATAAATATACCAGTAATAAATAAAAGAACGCAAGAAGGCAAAAGGCCTCCCTTGGCTTCCTCGCGGTGAGCCTGCCGGGCAGCGCCGCCTCCTGTCAGTCAATGCTCTGATCGCACGCCGTTTAAAGGCAGGATCCATACAAAGTATGCAAATGGTATTTAACCTTGTTTTTAACGTCAGAGTTCTGCGGTACCTTTTTAGAATCGACACACTGTGCAACATTAATTCAGGGATTTGTTACCATGAACTTTATTACACACTATGATAATTACGCTATTTAAAAAAGAAAGCGGTTCACACGTGATGCAAATGCGAGGGGGGATCCGAACCTGATCCGCCACACCGCTACCACTACTACTGGATGCATTGTTTTCGGTGTATCCTCATGAGGGGCAGCCACAGAGCCGATGCTGGTTGTAGATGTGTGTTGTTATAGAGGACAGTCACCAGTGACAGTCCCCCCGAGCACAATGCAGGCGTGCTTCCTTCCAAACAGTGTGACTCAGCCAAGAGGCTCGTCGAAACATTATTGAGTGTTCGGAAAGTGACGTACCTCTGGATACCTCGACCTGGGGCAGACGGAAAATCTCCAGATCCGTGCTGCCGCCCTTGGTCGAGCTGTCGTTGACGTCAATGAAAACAAGTTTGTCCACTTTACACTGGATGGGCATCACAAGGAAAAGTAAATTCATTGTCAGGGAAGTAATTTTTGATACTTATCCAAGATTGTAAAATGTGAAATCAAATACCTTTGATAAAACGCTCATCACCGACGCCATTGCTAAATGTCCTCCCCCGATGACGGACACCTTCTTGTTCATTTGCTCTTGATGGCTGCTTCCACCTGAAATAGACACGAGTTAAGCTTCTAATAGCACGCAGTATTTTGTTGTTGTCATCAACAGACAAGCTGCGTATCAAAAATCAAGCACCGTTGTTGATCTGTATATTAGAAACAAAAGCCAGTAGATCGTGGGGGTCTTTGTTGTCCACGTTGGACTTGGAGGACAGCGGAGGATGCTCCTCAAACTTCACAATCATCTCAGCCAGAAGACTCACCACGGAGGATTTGGGCTGTTGGGGAGCAAGAAAAAAAAACACACACACACAAGAACTGATGAGGAACCAGAACCTCTTCCATACAATTTTATATTTCACCCATAAAGTATAAAATCGTACATAATCCCAGTTGTGCAGCTCCGGCAGGTGAATCCGTCCTCCTCCGTCAACGTGCTTCCCTTCTCTGATGAACATGTTGGAGGTCGGTCTTAGGAGGCATATGGGAGGAGTGAAGGGGAACGAGTCCATCAACCACAGCTCAATGGGGAAGTTGTAGGAGCGACCTTAGGATGGGAAACACCGGCGTCAGTGGATAATTAGGACTTGACGCTGACATCGCTCTCAGATGGAGCGCCGGGCCGCTCTAGGGTCAGAGGTCAGACTTACCTCCATACTGGACTGGGATGTTACCTAGTAATCTCACAAGATCTTTTTGGGTGTGGTCACTAAATGCTGAAAATGATGAGATGGTCAATCATCGGCAAGATACATATGTGATATGTAGATGATTTTTGTTCTTCTATAAAAACTCACTGTATGTGCCTGCGGATGGGACTATGCCAGGGTGGATTCGATAGATCTTCTGCAGCTCATCAATCACAACATCATGGAATTTGTACTAATATCCAGATGTAAAAAGAAAGGTGCACAAGCACTATGAGTTTCTGTACATGCATATGCTTAGTTACTTTTCATACAAATAGTAAACTTTACAGTCTAGTATTGTAAAGTATTACTTCCATCATTTATTTTGATGTTTAGTTTTTTCACTTGAAAGTCAAAAAATCAAATCTCCCAGTATCACACCACCTCACTTCAGAGGGTCCTGAGGGGTCTCGCGTTGACATCACTTACCAGAGACACTGCAGAGTTTACCTTGTGGCAGTTTGTGCAGCATCAAAATAGTCAAATTGTCATCAAAATAGTAAGACGACAAAGGGGGGGGGTTGTGAATTAACATGAATTTTCTTGGCAACGACTTTATGATACACGAGGAGATCCATCGGTCCAGGGCGGCGATTTGTAATTCATCCCGAAACCATCATTGCTGGGTTTGTTTTCGTCTTACGTTGTACATTTTCCGGTAAGTAAGTAAAGCCGGTTCCGCCAGTCGGGGACCGCAGCATACTTTCACATCGCTGCTCAGCTGGCCGGTATCGACCCGCAGGGGGTTTGAACGTGAAACGCGCTGCTCGTCGGTATCTGACGTTAATTTGTCGCACTTGAGTGATCGTAACTGACCTTAGAGAGGATCCGCTGAAGTTTCTCGGAGGACAGGTCCATCGGTTGAAGTTCGACAGAGACCGAATCAGGAGGCTTAAGGATGTTTGTGTCTCCCGTACGACTTCCAGTCACAATCTACTTCCGAAAACTTTCAAGCGCAGCTAGGCGAAACGACAGACCCCGCCCCCTCCGTCACGTCACGTACGGCGAGCCGAGAGGGAACAAAAGCCACCAATTCGTCAAAGCCCCGGCTGGCCTATGGCAAATAAGTTATTTAACTAAATTAAAAAACATTTTAGAAACAAGACATCGTAAATTACTGAAACGAAAAATCATAAGTATTCTATGCACGCTAGTAATGGGGGTTTTATATGTTACTCTGATGCAAAACAATTTAATTAAAACAAGAGGCAATTCTTTATCTGAACTCCCTTTAAAGCACAACACAGTAAGTGGTTTTCTGCATATTTAATTTACTTATAAATCAAAGTTTGTTTTGAAAAATATGCAACAAATCCTGCTGAAAAATAGCATTCCATCATAACTTAATAGTGTCATTGTTAGTTTAAAAAAGAAAAAAAGAAAAGGAGAGAACCACACTTCCATATTTAAAGTTCACAGGTCCTTTCAGAAATTGAGATCACTGGGGGGGAAATAAATAGGGAAATGTGAGATTGTTTTTGGGGGAAATGGGGGAATGGGGGGAATGTGAGATTGTTTTTGTTGCAGACTAATGCCTGAATGATTTACACATCTTTAGCGTTTGACGTTTTCAGGTTGTCTTTCCTCTGGAGACATGGACACGTGTTTGGGTCCAATCATATTCAGAGAAGCAGA